AAGTTTGATGTAGAAGTAAAAGTTATCTTTAAAGCTTCAAATATTCCTTTAATTTCTTTATTCTACTCAAATTTGTCTTTACAAGTCAAACATACAAGTAAAGCTACAACTTTAAAGAAGTTCTTAATAAAGATTCAATAATAATTAAAAAAAAAATTCTAAAATATTAGACATTTTTATTTATTTTTAAAATATTTTATTCCATGATAATTTGAATTTTTTTAGATCCACCAAAAGACCGTTTTTTGAAATCATGTATCTAAAGAAATCAACTTGAGTTATACAAAATGTAGACTTTTTTTTATCTTTATATATAGTATTATAACTTTAACTTTTTGTAGTATATAAAAATTATGAATTTCATGTTATTTTATGTTTTTAGAGTAGATTTAAATATTTTCTAAATAAAGAAATTAAAATAATCTAAAAATTCTCAAAAAACACGATTCATAAAATAATAAAAAGAAGCTAGTATATTTGTGACTTCAAAAGGCATGCCATTGTATTTGAAATGTCCATACCTGCTTTGAAATGTAGTCTTCTATTTTATCTCTTTCTATGATATATACTAGATTATATGGTCCTTATAGATTCATTTTTTTATAAATCTTAGTTTGATTCAACTGATCAAGAAGTTCTAAAATTAAAGATAGAAGATACTTATTTTTGATAGTGATCTTGTTGATTTCTTGATAATCTACACACAACTATAGTAATCCATCTTTTATCTTTACAAATAAGATAAAAGCTTTTGCTAGAGATTTTGAATGGCATATAAAGTTTTTAGGTAGGTTCTTACTAATTTATTCTTTGACTTCAAATAATTCATACCTTGATAAGTTATAGATTGGATCAAATGGCAGTTGAGTTCTTCCTTAAAAATTAATTGAATAATTATAAAGACAATACTTTTGAAGAATATTTATATATATATTTTTTCAAAAACATCTTGATAAACTTGATATTAACTTAGAATATTACTTGAAGTCTTTTCACTATAAGAAATAAATATGGCATAAAATAGAAAAAAATTGCTTTTTTTTTACAACATGCATAAAGGTTTTAATACCTATTAATAAAAATTTGAACTTATGACTTTTTACTTGCATAATAGAATTGTAGATTATGCTATGAACTAAATTAAAGTTACAAGAGATCTATTTTATTTAAAAATTCTACTTGTCTAGCTATAATAAATCTAAAATAACTAAATTAGATGGAAATTTAGTAATATTTATTATTACTAAGATATTATGTCCATTAATTGATAAATCTAAAGAAATAATTTTATAAGTAACATCTCTAAAAAAATAATGATAGACTATCTATGACTTTTATTTGCATAAGCTTAGATTTTTTAAATAAAGTGATTTCTTCTTTTTTTGATAAAATCTTAATTTAAAAAAAAAAAAAAAAAAAATCAATTTTATAAGACTTTTATATCATTTAACTCTAAATAAATATCTTTTATTAAGCAAAGTAATGGATTTAAGGATAGAATTAGACCTTTATTAGTTATTGCATAAGATTTAAGCTATACGATCCCTATTATAGCCAAACAAACTTATTTTTTGATATATTTTTCTCTTTAGTAATTATGATTCTTATTTTGTAATTGTATTGTGCTTTTAGAGAATATTGAGTAATATACTTAGGTTCTCTACAATATAAGTATAATCTTTTTTAACAATATTGAATCTTCTTTTGCTCAAGAAAAAAATTAAAATATACCATATTAATTAGCGTAGTTTTTAACCTTAATAAATGAGTTTTTTAAAACTTAAGAGTTGTTACCATGACTTGACTTGTATTTCTTAAACCAAATCTTTGTTCTTAGCATCTATCAAAAAGTCAATTATTGCATGCAATGACTTAAGTAATAAATTATTCTAATAAATTTACTTTTGATATTATTAAAAATAAATATTTGGTATTATCTTTCAATCTATGTTAAAATTGATTGATAAAGACTTTGTTATTCTAATCCATGTTCCAAGAAAGGTTTTGGAAATTATCAACATATATAGTGGCTAAATATGATTCTTATTTAATAAATAGGAGTATAATCTTTGTTACTATTTCTTGATTATTTTTTTAAAATGTAGTTGTAAATACTTCTATGAATAAATTTAAATTATAAAAAAATTATAAATTCTTTTTTATTAAAGATAAAAATCAAAAAGAATAGTTTTAGATAGAAATATACATATAAATCTAACTTGAATAAATCCATTAAGGTATTGAGAAGGATTCAAACTTAGATAGTGCTTTATTTATTGTAAAAAATCCAAAAAGTTTTGATCTTTTTTATCAAAAAAGTTATAATACTTATTTTGGCTTTTCTCACACTAATAGTAAGACTTCTTAGATTCAATTGTAAAGTTGATCTGATTGCGTCTTTCAACATGTTGTCATGTAGCTCCTACTTTAATAACATATATAGAAGTAAGAGTGAAGTCTTCTTTATTCTTGTTAATGCCTTTCTAGTCCTTAGTCTTATTTCAAGACTTTCTAATCTTCTCGTCTTTGGCAATAGCCATTTTAGTTTAATATTATATTAACTTTCAATGATTCTCTAATCTTTTCAAGAGACACAAGTCTGTATTAATATTTTTATTTTGTAAGATTCATGTCTTTGCTATAAGTTTAGCATCTATAATTTTTCTTATCATTTCTATAAAAAATGAATTTCACAAATTTATAAATCAAATTAGAGGAAGATAATCTATAACTTCAAATATTAACTAAACATTTCTACAAAAAAAAAGATAGTATATTCTCATTAATGAAAGAATCAAGGTTATAAAATCAAAAATATAAATTTAAAGATCAATAGTTTGTAATTTTTAAAGTACAATAAAGAAAATAGAGTGATCCACTCACTTGTAGAACAAAATAAGAATAATGAATTAACACTTTTATCAAACTCTCAAGGACATGAATCACAAAAAATAATCTTTTTAATACACTCTTGGATCACTAAAAAAGAATAAATTGTTACTTAAAGATGGTATATTAATAAGCTAGAATGGCTATTGCTAAAGACAAGAAAACTAGAAACTTTTGAAACAAGACTAAAAACAAAAAAGGCATTGGCAAGAATGAAGAATGCTTCATTCTTGTATCCATATATATTATCTAACTAGGAGCTATATAGCAATATTCTATATTGAGATCTCAAACACATGTCTCACTTGCAAAATAAGTTTCTTACATGTACACCACATGGTCAATATGTGACTAAATTATTGTCCAAGTTCTTAATCTTTTAATCAACTACAAATATATACAAAATTAATATTTGCATCTATAAAACTTCTAAATTTTTTTACTACAAGATATTATCAACTCTACTAACATTTATCTTCTATCTAACATTTCTTATCTAAGTAATTAAGTATGTCCATAACATGTTCTTTTGGACCTTTGAGACTTGTCTAACTTGCAAGAAATGTATTTTATTTGCAAGACAAGTTGTTAACATGTGCAACATGTGGCCAAGTTGTTGGCCAAGTTTCCAACCTATCAATCAATTACAAATATGTATAAAATCAAATCTGCATCTATAAAACTACTTTGTAATATGCCAATATTTTTAGTAGTTCACTCAAATTAAGAAATATATAAAAAAATGAGATGTTAGAGTGTTTATGTATATAATTCTTAATCAATTTAAAACAAATTATGTAATATAGTGTATTTGTGCTAATATCTATGAACTCCATTATTAGCTTAAGCTTTAAAAAAAATTATAAATTTATTAAGTACATGTTATTGCACACTAATTACCATTTGAAATCAAATTTGAAACAAATGCACGTAGAGTTAGAACCTTGGATTGGAAGAAATTGTAATAAAATAAAAAATGATAAAAGAAGGATTGATCACATAAGTGTTAGAGCTAAACTACCAATACTTACCCCAATTTGTGCCAAATTTACCGAATTTATTTTGAAACACTTCTACTGATTAAAAACTCAGAAAAGTCTATATTTCGTTCCTATTATTAGTGTACATGTTCATTTGTACTATCAAGTAATTTTGGTTTATTGAAAGATAGTCAATGGTGTTTGACATCACTCACATTAAGAAATATATATATAAAAAAAATATGATGTTATTTACTTAAATAGTACTTCTCACAACTTTATTCAAAACACAACAAAACTTTCAAATTGACAGTCTTACAATTGGTGGCAAAACCCTTAACTTTTCAAAGAAACATTGTGTATTGAAACTCACCCACTTTATTATGCTTCATCTGAGAACATGGACCATTTTCCCAGGCCTCAATTCCAATCCATAATGTGTTTCCTATTGTGAATGTCGAAACAAACCACTAGGAACAAGGACCATCCTCCCACTTCTAAATACCAATTTTTTAATAACTCTTATTAATAAAGAGCAATTCTCCTTTTGATGGTGGAAACAAAAATTTGGTGGGCTACTAAATCGATGGTTCAAAAGTTGTTTAAAAAGGTCCAACTTTGGATGGAGCGACAATCAATGCACACAGCTTTGAATTGGTAGGTGTGTGGTTTTTCAAAAGACTCATTAAAGAACAAATAAATAATTAAGTAAACAAATAACATTGTTGATGGATTCTGAAGTTGAGCGGCAATGAAAAGGGGCCAAGTCAGATTAGCCCTGAGCTGCCGAAGCAAGAGGCAGCCAAGCAAGGGGAGAAGAATTGTGATAATAAAAACAACAACAACTACATCAACAACAACAATAATAATAATGATAATGGGGATATGAAGGAAGTAAAATGAAAAAGGTTGGAAGCTTTTGCTTTCCGGAGAAGCGGCGTTAGCGTTTTGGTTTTTTCCGCGGCTTTTTAATCTCGGAGGAGAATTGAAGTGGTCTGAACAACAACAAGAGCGTGGTCAAGCGGGCGGGCGGGCGAACGAGCCCACGCGGGGGTTGGGATGGGTTGAGTTGTGGCGATGGAGGGAAATGGAGCGACAACGATGGCGTGGGGATTGCGGATTCTGCTCCCAGCACAGTGGTGCTGCAACGAATTGCCCTGAATTTTTGTACAATTCTTTACCCGTTTAAAATTCGGGAGAGGGGCTGCTGAATCGGAGACTGCAGTAATAGAAAATCTCAGTCGAGAAGCGGCCGGGCAAGTCGGGGTCTGCGCGGACGCCAGGAGCGCAAAGCAGTTGGCGGCCTAAAAACAGTGTCCCGACAATTGCAAGACGAATACATTTGTGCTGTCTTCCTGGAATCCCACCCGAGGCCCATCGCTTTCCCTCCGTCGCATCCGGAACGCCGTTGCGAGCGACGGAGAGCGAGGCAATGCGAGGGCCGGGAGCTGGGGGGGCTGGACTGGTGGTTAGTCTGTTTAGATGCGTCGGATCGAACGCCGTGAGAGGTTCAATCGCGGGCACCGAAAGAGACAAAGAGCGCGTGATGTGATCAGGTGGATCAGGTTGCATCGGATCAAGTGGATCAGGGACCCTGTGAAAGGTTGGAGCTTTGCGACTTGCACTTGAGCGAGCGCCGCAGGGGGAGAGATCGGTCATGTGGGTCGTGGAGGTTGTGGGATGTTCAGGTTGATGATGGTTTCTTTGTGAAGTCTTTCGGAGCGCAGGTTTAGCGGTGACACGGATCGGAGACGGGGAAGGAGAAGAAGAAGAAGATCAAGAAGATGTTAGGTCCTTGCAGAGCTGGACGTCAGGATTTGGTTTATTCCTCGTTTATAGGGGATTGCATTCACAGATGATTTTTTGGAACGCAGCTTGTTATATGATTCGAAGCGGTTTTGAAGTGGAATATGGTTGGGGAGCACTCTGAAAGGGGGTTGTAACTGCGAACGTGCGGGAAGGGTTCAGGGTTTTGGGGGATCAGCGGGAAGGGTGGCTATATGATCATCAGACTTGGAAGGATACCTGAGTAGAGTCGACGGAAGATCACAGAGGAGGTGGGGGACAAGTAGCGAAGGTAGATATTTGTGGCAGGGTTTATGAATTAGGTTGAGGAAATCGAGTTTGCGGGGATGCTGATGATCTAGGATCATGGTCGCGAAGCCTATGTCGCTGTTGTCGAAGAGTGTTGGCCATGGAGATCGGGTGGTGCCCAGCAGGGACAGGGACGGTAGTGTTAGCAACGGCGGCACCCGAGCGTCGTCGGTGAAGAAGACGCGTTCGCTTAAAGCTCGCAGTCCGGAGCGAGGGGAAGTAGAGCGAGTCTCGGGAAATGTGAGTAGCACCCCTACCCCGAGAATCCGGAGCGTAGCCCGTCACATTACCTTGGAACATCAGCAGCTGAATCGTTCGAGGGATGCGGATACAGGGGTGAATGGGTGTCGCCACCCTACGTTGGAACATCCGCAGTTGACTCGCTCAAGGGATGCAGAAGCAGGCGTGAAATTTGAGGGCCGCCACATCGCTTCGGACCATCAACAGCATAGTCGGAACTCAAAAGACGTAAACTCTACAGGGGGGAAATTTGAGGGTCGGCATACTGCCTCTGAATATCAGCAGCCTAGCCGGAATTCTAGAGAGTCCGTGGATTCAGGCGGGAGTAAGTTTGAGGGTCGTCACACTTCTTCGGATCATCAGCCGCCTAGTCGCAACTCTAGAGAATCTAACGGTTCAGGTGGGGGTAAATTTGAGGGTCGGCATGCTGCTTCTGATCATCAGCCGCAGAGTCGCAACTCTAGAGAAACTGGCGATTCAGCGGCGGGTGGACTTGAGGGGCGCCATGTGCCTTCTGGACACCATCAATCCAGTCGGAACTCGAAAGATGTGGATTCAGCAGGAGAGAAACCTGAGCTCGACGACTCGATGCCGACTGCCGCGAACAGGCCCTGGGAAAACGGAGTGCATCACCCCAGCCTGAATTCGCCGATGATGTTGAGTCTCGGTGGGGGTGTGCAGATGAAGTGGACGGCGACACAGCACCTGGACCTGCAGTCGGCTTTGCGGTCCGGTTCCCCAGCTGCTCACCCTCATTGCGCGACGTTCCATCCAACCCTGCCGTTGATTGCCGTGGCTGTGGGTAGAAATATCGTCGGTAAGGTTTATTTTTCTTTTAAGCTCTTTACACCAGGCGCAACTTTACTAAGGCGGCTGGTCACATCATGAACTTGAGGGAGGGGAGGGGATCTGGAGTTTGTGTGCTCTCTTAACAGAGATGTGAGTTTTTCACGTTGCATTTGTTCAGCTGGTATTGAAACTACGTTCAGCCCGTAACGCGTATTTTTAGTACTCTTGAACTTCACGTTCTTACAAATTCTCTGGTATAACCGAGTACGCTAACAGCACCATCTGATAGATGAAAGAATGGATACTAATTTTACGAGTGAGACGAGAGCCCCATGATATTGCAATCAGAGAATGTCACTTACTCTAGTTACCTTCTGATACCGGAGATTTGCAGTGTGCTGTGGCTCCGCTCATCCTTAGATTTATTATGGGACTTAGGAAAGTACGGCGTTCAGACTGGTCCATATGTTAGCTATCCCCGTCGATTCGTGTAGTTAAAAATCATTCTGCGCGTGTGCGTATGAATGTGAGTCTGCTGCATCACGCTGAGATGCGCATGGGCCGTGAGCTTCACTCTCTCTCCTTGGCTCTCCAGGAAAGCCATGCGTCGTTTGAATCGTGGAAGCGAGGCCTAGTGTAAATCTCTCTTTGAAGTTTTAGATGATAGTTTTTCACTTACAAAAGTTTTAGTTTTTCTGTCGTGCAGATGGTTAGCCGGTATTAATCTATTCTCTTTGCACACACATATCATTTTCTTTAATAGAATATTAGTCGTTTCTATTCCTTGGAGATGCTAATATAAGTTGGAAAACGATGTTTCGTGCTATGCAGAGTTCGATGCATTGACAGGGAGTAAGCTTTTGAGCATGGACATTGGAGCAACGGTGGTGCGCATGGCTTACAGTCCCGCTGGAGGTCATGTCATTGTTGCTGTGCTTGAGGTGAGATAAAAGCGTTCATGGAAAGTTTACATGCCCTCCTCAAGGCTTGCTACTGGCTGTTGTAATGCTTTCTTCAGAATCTAGTTTATACGGTATTTAACTTATTACCAAATCCAATGCTTGAATTGTCTTCTGAAAGACGCTTTGGCGAAATTGCTTTGTCCCGGTGTAGGATTGGACTATCAGGTCGTGGGATCTGGACACAGAGCAAACACATATACTCTATTCTCCAGCAGATAGGAAGTCTGATAACGCAAACGGAGGCAGTATTGAAGTTCACATAGCACTTACACCTCTCAAATCTTGGATTTTTTTTGTTGCTCATCGCCGACTGAGTGTCAATGGTAGGGTTATCCGTGCTCTACAACTGTCATGTTTTCAGTCATTGTGTCTGTAGAAATGTAAATGGCAGTTGGGATTTTTTGCTACGATCTCATTTCTTCGTTTATGTTGTTTGAAACAGTTGTTGGCACAGACGTTGAGAACGCGAAGTCTGCTAGTAAAGTAAAGATGGACTTAAAGAGGCCTATAGCCCAACTGGCATGCCACCCTCGGCATCCAGTATTGGTACTGTTCTTTTTCTTGCCGACCTGGCACTTTTCAAGTTCAATTTGTAAATCAACCAGAGGCTTCTCAACGGCGTGCTTATATGTTCCTAGTACGCGTTGCTCGCGATTATTCTGCACTACTAATCCTTTGGCTGTTTGCATTTCAGTACGTGGCATACTCGGACGGGATAGTACGAGCTTACCACATTCAGAACTTCGCTGTCTTGTATACCTTGCAAAGTGAGTTTAGACAACTCTGCTGCACGTCTTTCAACTACCTCATTTGCTTGTCCTCTGAAACAGACCTAAACGTCTGCTGTGTGTAGTTTATTTGAAGTTTTTCTATCCGGGCATGCGTAAGTCGTTTTGTGCTTTTGTTTTCTTTGGGTGGTCACGTTGTGGCATATTTCGATACGGATTGTGTTATCATTCATGCGCGGTTCTTTGACATCGTCTTGAGTTCCTTTGCTGGTGATGCAGTCGATCCTGCTGTGAAGTTATTAGGAGCTGGAGCGTTTGCCTTCCATCCAACTTTAGAGTGGATGTTTGTCGGTGACCGAAGTGGAACTCTTTTGGCGTGGGATGTTTCAGTCCCAAGTCGACCAAGTCTGATTGGCATGTAAGAAAGCCCTGAGGTTGTAAACCTCCTAATCTGCGAGCCGTTCTGTTCTAGTGGGTTGTAATTCTGTCTTTGAACACAATTAGTAATGTTTGGCTCTTAGAAATGCTTGGAAGCTTGAGGATCGTGTACTCTCTAAGTTATCTTGGCATTCGACAGCATCTCCACTGGCACAAGTCCGATCGTTTCAGTCTGCTGGCTCGCAATGCTCAACATGGTCGTTACACTCAATAAGGAAGGATCAGTTCAAGCCTGGCGGACTCGTGTAGCCCCTGATCCAAATAAACCCCATATGCGTGCCAACTTTCTGGAATCTGCAGGTAATTTCCATGCATGTTGGTTGAGGAATCAGGACCGCCAGTTTATGCAGTGCATCTTAAAGTGTTTTAGAGTCGGCGTGCTTTACACTAAGATTTGATTACATGCATTAACATCTTGGTTGAGTTTGATCCAGGAGTAGACCCTTTGGATATTACCACAATCCTGAGCCAGAATGGCGGGGGCACTCTGCACCCACTTCCGAGGATTATCGACCTTCTGGTTCATCCGAAGTTCAATCTGACATCACTACTTTTTGCGGTAAGTTGAACTTCAGTCCTTATTGAAGAAGTTGCTGATTTAGACGAGTATATCAGTGGACACTACTACATCTTTAAAGAGAGCTGACTCAGTGGGTGCTGTATGCAGAATGCATCAGCTAGTCCTGAGGACACTAGGAGAAGAGGAGGTGATCGTGCGTCTCGCGATTCGAGAAAACAGCTGATTACGGTGCTTCAGGCGGCTCCAGCGTCGATGATCTGCGTGTGCAGGCTTGCTTCCACAGAGCTTCAGAGCAATCTGTTGGTGGAGGTGTCCGACTCCCGATTTCATCTCCACAAGGTGATTGTGATTGTGATATAGCTATTCTCATATAGATTCCTTGAATGAATATCGTCGTCTTTGAGAAAGAATGCTACTGAACTGCTTGAATCTAGCTACTTCGCTCCAGGGCTTTAAAATTTGTATTATTTGTTTGCCTCTCCGGCAGTTTCCCCTTCTTTCTCGTAGCGGACGACTCAATCGCTTGGTCTTCGAGTCAAGAGACACAAACAAAGACCACATCAAGCTCCCTCAAATGCCAGGTGGTGCGGAAGCCTTTGAGCTCTGTGTGAAATTCTGCTACGGCATGCCGTTGGAGTTGACCCCACAAAATGTGGCCACGCTTCGGTGCGCAGCCGAGTACCTGGAGATGACGGACAGTTTAGAAGATAGAAATCTCGTCTCCAAGACGGAGCACTATCTGAGCTTCGTCATTTTACCATCGTGGAAGGACTCCATTACAGTATTGCAGTCATGTCAGAGACTACTTCCATGGGCCGAGGAAACGCAAATTGTGAGAAGGACTAGTGAGAGTGTAGCATGGAAGGCTTACACTGATCAGCATGGAATCAAGTGGTCGTTCACTAGTACTTCGAATGTGCCGACGACGACGCAGCACATTCCTCATGATTGGTGGGTAGAGGACGTGATCCAGCTGAATTTTGATGCATTCAAGAAGGTCATGACCGCCGTGACAGCCAAAGGCATGGCGTACACGCTGGTGGGCTCGGCCATAGCTCAATACGGCACACGGTGGATTCCTGGAGTTGAAAAGAAGATTCGGAAGCATCACCAAGAGCCGAACAGGGAAATTCCAGGATCTTACTTGACCGGTAAAGAGATCGTTCTTCGTGACGCACCGAATCATGTCCAGAGCCTGAATCAAGACGAAAATAGAGAGTTGGTGGAAGGTGTGGCAGCCATGTTGCCGCCACAGCAGGACGGTGTTTCCTGTAGCTTCTTGTTGAGGCTGCTGCGGGCGGCATGCGTGTTTGGTGCTAGCGCTTCTTGCCGGGAAGAGCTGGAGAGGCGAGTGGGTTTGCAGCTGGAGCATGCATCACTTAGCGATCTTCTCATCCCTTCTTCGCATCCTGCAAGTCAGACGATGTATGATCTCGATGTTATTCAACGCATTCTCGAGCACTTCTTGCTCAAGGTTAGTTGTCTTCCTCGCATCTTGAATCCTAACCTGCACGCATGTGGTTAAAGGCTTCCCATCAAGTTGTCGTCTTCATCCTATCATGTTCTTGTACTTCAGGATCAAACTGGTATGGCTAGTCCTACAATGAGTGTGAAGAATGACAAGCAACTCCACGTTTTCGAGAACGGCGTCAGTAAACCACCGACAACCCCGACTATGAGCAAAAGCAAAGTCGCTAAGCTCATGGACGCATACCTCGCCGAAGTCGCCAGGGACTCGAATCTTCCGCTGGCGAGATTCCAAAACTTTGCGGAGGCAGTGCCTCAGTTTTCGCGGGCAACGGATGATGGATTGTACAGAGCTGTCGATACATACCTTAAGGCATGTCCTATTTCGACCTATTTCTATTGCACTATCTCTACTGCTCTAATGGAAAACCGTTTCTTCGTTACCAACCTTGCTGACCACAGTGACCTTAACGTCACAGCATCGTCTGTGAACAGATGGTGCTTGCTTAGAGTTACGGTCTAAAAGAAGACAGGTGCGCTGTCTATTAATCACTACCTATTCCATGGCTGCACAGGCACATCCTACCATGACAGAGCACGAGCGCAAGAAACTGTGTCGTGTAATGGATTGTCAGCGACTCTCCCTGGAAGCGTGTCTGCACGCTGCACAGAACGAGCGTCTTCCTCTTCGCGTTGTCGTTCAGGTATATAAACCTTAAGCATTGCGCTCTAGTCAAAATTGTTTGCAAATTGCTGCATTGTCTCCCTTTCAACACTGTTCAGATAAAGCTAAGTGACTCCCTCTCTCTCCCCTTTGGTTTTTTTCTTGATGTGGCCTCGCAGGTATTGTTTAGTGAGCAAGTTAAGCTTCGTAATGCAATCACAGGGCACTCTTCCAAGAAGGCATTGCGCGACAACCACCAGGTGGAGAACGGCAGCGCGCATGCTTCTGTCCAGGATTCTCAGGTCGGAAGCCAAAGTATTGTTTCTAGACCAGATGACTCAGACGCCACTGACGGGCTCTCTCTTCACGAGAGCTGGCTAGCCGCACGGCAGGACATCAAGTACCTTAAACAAGATATGGAGAGAATGAAGGCCAAATACGCCGATCTTGAACATGATTACATGACCCAACAGGTGTGCACTATATATCTGTCTCCAAATCAGCAGAGTACATCGATCATTTGTCTTACTAGTCATGCACTAATGCCTTCTGTGAGCTTTACTGACTGTTGCTGGAACGTGTGTAGGTTGAAAAGAAAGCAAAACCGAAACCGAACTCCTCTTCAGCATGGACGTCAGGGTGGAAGAAGATGAGCAGCACTTTGAAGCGTCCCAGCTTATTTCACTCTTCAAAACAAGATTTCGAGTACAATCACAAGGACGACGCTTCCATCGCGCCCACCAATCCCGAATCTGGCGACGGCGCACACGATCACTCTTTCACTCCCAGAGTTACCACTGCCGATCAGCGCAGGAGGTCACATTCAGTGACCTCGATAGCATCAGTTCAAAGATGGAGAAATTCCATCTCATAACACCGGTACCGTCCGCGTGCTTCTTCTGCACGGAGCTAGTGGCCTTGCTGGTTGATTGGCTTGACTGCTCAGAAAATCAATTGGATTCGAGTGCTCAGGTGTAAATTACAATCTTGTCTAAACACAGCAACAACACTGACGGCAAGACGTCGGGCAGGGGGCTACGATACGATTGTCCGCAGCTGCTCCGTTCATAGAGCTGCAACAAACCAAAAAGTTCCGGTAGATTTAATGGGGTTGTGGATCGGGTGATTAAACTGTAAATTATTTACAAGGGCTGTCTGCCTTCTGTAGAGAAGGAATTGGATCGAATTTTTAGGACAAGAAAGAGCAGCGGCATGTGGTCGTGACTTGCTATGTACTCACCCCGAGATTGTGCTCGTCACTCTTTGTATGCATTGGCATTAGTAAAGACATCTAAACAGTTTCAGTGGGATTTCGCTTGTGACTTCACGGCGAAGGGGAACGTGCGCAGACAACTTGTCCTAAGTAGGCAGGCACGCATCACCCAGAGCTTAATGAATACTGGTGTGTGCTTACGACGTCCCGCCGCCTCGCATTCAATACTCGTTTATCCTTCCTCCCTCGCCACATCAATTGCCGCTACTGCAGCGTCTGGTCTCCCCGCCGTAGCTGCCGATGAATCACAACGTGAATCACCTCACATCCTCTGTCAGAAGGCACATAATCTGAGTTACCAACCCGTCAGTCGACGATCAGACCCACACTTCCGAGAGAACCAACGCCGATCTATCCAGATCGCTTCGAAGTCGGAGGCAGCGTCTTTGGATGATTTCTGGTGTCGTCGGTGTGGGAAAGAGGCCGACGTACATCCAGATTGTGTACATCAAGTGAACTCAAACCCAGTGGATCTCCAACTCTAATTAGTACCCAACTAATTTCTTCGTATCAATTTATGTTTCAAAACTCTAGTATGATTTTAAACTCTTTACTCAGTTCCAAAAAATGCACAATGTTTGAGTGTATTCTACTGCCATCAAATCCTGAATGAATGTTCAAATGTTGCGTGATGGTGAAATACTTCTGTCCTTCAGAAATTTGATTGACGTTCGGGGCCAGAACACCTATTGCAAACTCTAAAATTTGAGGGTTAAAGTAACTGTTCCAATGTTTCTTTTTGAATTTCTTTATTTTTGGATTAAAATTGATACTATGTTCTTGTCATTATACAAATACAATATTGTTTATAAGTTTGTCGCATTGCATTATAAAATCAATCGCAACAATGTGATTATCTTAATCACATTTGATTTCAGAGATTTATAATATAATTTTATTTGATAAAGCCATTGTAGTAACCAATAAATGTAAAAATAGTTATATGCCACAAAATAACCTCTCAGTATACTTTTGCTTTTATAGTTTTGAGGATTATGATACAACACAGATAGTTAAAGTTTTTTTCAATCTTTCATATTAAACTAAAAATAAAACAAATCAAAATTTACTTCTGTATTTAGAATCTTCAAAGTTTTATTTGAATGAGAATGATTTTTTTAGTATTTAGTTTGTTCATCAACACAACTTTGAAACTTAAATCAGTGTTTTAGAGCAATAAAAATCAAGGTTAAGAATAAAAAAAATACTTGTGTTTTAATTATATTTGTTGTAGATTTACAACAAATCAAAGCTGGAAGAGTTTTCTTAAACCTATTGAACATTTTATTGTTCAATATAAAATCCTAATACGTTTCTAGAAGTCATTTGAAATCCTCTATGGTGTTCCAAAAGTTTGTAGTGATCTTCAGCAAATCAATTCATAAATTTTAAAAACCTTTTGTAAAAGTTTCAATAAAATCTAGTTGATATAGCATAAACAAGAGCATAGCTAGAAAACCTTAGTTCTACCGAAACAAACTCTGGAGCTAACCATGTGTTTGAATCTTTTAAATATTGCTTATAAAATATAAAACAATCTCATCAAGGTGGAGTTGTTATTGAGTTATTTTTATATCTATAATTAAAAAAAAATGTAAACATACATATGTAATTGTAAGAAAAAAGTATCATTTTGGTTTAAAGTAATGATAATTGTTTTTCAATCTGTAATATTCATCAATATCAATAATGATATATTTCAGAATAAAAATATTTAATATGGATAGAGTATATACCACAATGATTGTATTGGTGTTGTTTCATTTTGTAGCTCAAGTGTACTTAAATCAAATAAAATTAATCTCATGTTTTCAAACCTGCATAAAAGTTAACATGATGTATCTTGAGTCTCTAATAATCTCTTTGTGAAAAATCAAATAAATGGTTAGAGAATACATGTTTTTCAAACTACAAACATCAACCACACGATAAAAACATGGAACCAATTTTTTTTAAGTAAATTTATTAATTCAACCTCAATAAATAACTTCAAAGACGTGTAGAATGTGATAAATCTGACCCTACATGTCCAAACCTTGGAAATCACCACAACATGGATTTTAATTTTGTAAAGTATTTTCTAAATAATAATGTAAAAGGAAACGAAAATAAGAATATCATGATTTGAATTCTTGGTACGAAAATCCTAACAAACAAATAATAAAAATAAAAAAATGAGTACATAATTTTCCCAACTATCACAATAAAACCAATGTAGGGTAGAGCTAGTCTAGTTTGCCTTGGGCAAGAATCGAAATCAGCTACGGCCAGAATGTTCAACTGTACCCCAAAGCCGTGGGACCCTATGACCGCGAGGCAACGTTAGGGCTGGGATTAGGGCTTGGGGATGTGCCTGCGTCCCCTTTCGCAGTGCCCTCACTCGCACCTCGTTATTGTCTCTAATGCCCCAAAGGCTCCTTTGCAGAGACGGACGCACTAGTCTGGACTCTCCACATTGTTGTGCTCTTCTCTAGCTTGAAGCCATGCCGCCCAAGGCTGCTAAGGGCAAGGAGGCTCCGGCCGAACGCCCCATCCTTGGTCGCTTCTCCTCCCACTTGAAGATTGGTATTGTAGGTCCTCAAACATTAACGGCACTTTTACTCGTGCTCCGTGTGTATTTGCATCGTTTGATTTTGTAAGTGTAGTCGAGTCGCTGTGTTGCAAGTTTTTTTTGTTTTGGTCGCTGGGCTTGGGGCAGATTGTTTCGAATTCTGGTTCAGTGTGCTGCAGCCACTCAGCTGCGGTGTGTATTTATTTATTTATTTATTATTTTATTTTCGCTTGTTTGATCCTTATTGCAGCACAATTCGGCTGTATTAGGAAAGCAGTATTGATCAGTAGAGTATTTCTCTGTTCCCAGGAAGTATTTTTTTTGTCGTTCCTCACTAAACTTGGCTCTCTTTTGCTTCACATTGTGATTAGAGTCAGAGTTGATGTCTGAGTTCCTTCCCTTAGATAATTGAAGCCGGTTTGTTTTTTTACCTCACTTTTTGTGTGACTCTGGTCTCTTAGTGGCAGGCATCTTCATCTGGACTGATCACGGTCATTGAATTCGCTAAATTGATAAAGTTATTAACCCGATTTTAATTTTCTCTTTGCATTTCGTCTTTGTTTCGTATCTTGTTTTCATCATTACATTGCGTGATTGATTTGCAGGTTGGACTCCCCAATGTTGGAAAATCCACTTTGTTCAACACTCTCACGAAACTTGCCATCCCTGCGATGAATTTTCCTTTCTGTACAATTGAGCCCAATGAAGCACGCGTTTACGTACCTGATGAGAGGTTCGATTGGCTCTGCCAGCTGTTCAAACCGAAAAGCGAGGTTATTTACGACATCCTCACCTTTGAATTACGAGCACTCTTGCCTTGCCCCTTGAATTTTAGTAGGTAGTAACCTTGTTTCATGTTGCCCGACGTTCTTGACGTCATTAACATTCTTTAGCTGTTCTTTCGTAACTCCTGTATTACGGAAGGGCGCGTTCTTTTAAGAACCTCATGCTGCAGAAATATTCACTTCGTAGTCTCTGTGCAAGATAGCAAACGATCATCCTATTCTTGATGCATACTAAAGAAAGAATATTTGAATGGTGAACCAGGTGGCCGCTTTTCTTGAGATTAACGACATCGCTGGTTTAGTTCGCGGTGCGAACGAAGGGCAGGGTCTGGGCAATGCCTTTTTGTCACATATTCGAGCGGTGGATGGCATCTTTCATGTCTTGAGTAAGTTTTATTAAAAGTCTGACCAACCATAAATATGCAATATCTGTATTATCTACTTTGGTTGTTTGTCATACCATGGCATGAAGCAATTGGCTGATTGTTTCATTCAAAGAGTAATCCTCTTTGGATTCCGACGGGTTTTAAACTAAAAGAAATTATGTTTCTGCAGGGGCTTTTGATGATCCAGAGGTCACACATGTTGAGGATTCAGTTGACCCCGTTAGAGATCTGGAAATCATTTCTCAAGAATTGCGTTTAAAGGTAACCTCTTTGCATCTACCTCGGTTAGGATAATGCGGATTTCGCAGAAGTTTATATTCTACATCAAGCTTTACCCTGCATAGCTTCTGCTGTAATTTGGCTTCTACGTATGCCCATGGATGAGTTTTTGTTGAATGAGTAATTTATATTCATTCTACATTCCATTGATCTCCTCTAAATGAGATGAAATACTCTCCGCTTTGTTGCAGGACATTGAATTCATGGAGAAGAAAATTGACGACTGTGAAAAAGTCTTGAAGCGCAGCAATGCTAAGGAAGCGAAAATGGAATTGGAATGCTGTCAAAAGGTCCGTTATCTTCTGAAGAGACCTTAGAGAGTTCTTTAGGTTTTTGTTAGAAAATTAATTAATTTATTAATTAATTTCCTCCACTTACAAGCTGTGCTTGCACATTTTTGAAACATATGTTTATACAGGTTTTTTTTTTTTAAGACTTCCTCTTCTCGCTCCTGCTCTGTTTTTAGATTAAGAAGTTCGCACTTAATTTAAAATAGACGTAGTTATCTGTGACCAATTTTTGTGACTGGTAAGAACAGGTCTACGACTGGTTGAAACAAGAAAAGGATGTCAGACTTGGTGACTGGAAAACTGCCGAAATTGAGATTCTGAATACATTCCAGTTGCTGTCTGCAAAACCAGTGGTATATCTGGTAAGTACATAATTTTTAAACTTGACTTAGTATGGATGTTTTCTAACATAGGTTCATGGAAATAGTCACAATCTATTGTGAATACTTAGGTCTACTACAGTCTGCTACTCTGTTTAAAAGCTAGGTTGTGCTTTCCCCTAGAGCTCTGTTGAGTATTTACAAAAGTCCCAATATCGGCCTTAATCATGTGTTTGCAAGGACACTTTTATTTTTGGCGTATAGTGAAATGGTTGCGTCCTTGTCCTTCGAAACCGAGCATGCCTTTTCTAAGACTGGCTGTTCCACTCTAGCTTGAAATTTAGTTCTTTGTTAGTATCACTTCTAATATCAGACTTGAAGCTGACCTCTGCAGATCAACATGACGGAGAAGGATTACCAACGGAAGAAAAACAAGTGGCTAGCTAAGATTCATGCTTGGTAATATCTATGTGATGAGCTTACTATGCTTCATTACTATGAATTATCTTGTCTATTCCGTGAATGTTGCTACTTTGCCTTCAATTTTCCACATTCACTTGGCATGATATTTGTTAATTTCTGCTGGCCTGCTGAATATTACTTGTTTTGTATGTGGCTTCGTATCCATTCAGTTCTCTGTAATATTATGTAGCAGAATTGGTGGAGTAAATAATAACTATGCAAGATTTTCGGTTGGGCTGGTTTTCCAGGGTACAGGAACATGGAGGTGGTGTCTTAATTCCATTTAGCGGTGTGTTAGAACAAAAACTAGCAGACATGCCTGCAGATGAAGCTGCAGTATACTGCAAGGAGAATGATCTCGTCAGGTGTGTACTGAAAATTCTAACTTGAGTGTCGGGTTGTGTTACTAATTTCATTATTACTCTATGATCTACATATACCAGACACTATGGCCTGCTCTATCCTACCACCGCTCTTGATGCTTTAATATCGGTGATGTGATACGTAAGGTGTTTTCGGGAAGCCAAGGACATGCGATGATGTCTGTAGTTATTGACATCACTAAGGTCCCACTGTGTACAGTGCATTGCCCAAAATTATCAAGACAGGTTTCGCTGCCATCAATTTAATTTATTTCTTCACAGCTGGTCCTGATGAGGTATGCATTTTGTAACCGACCACCGCTCTGATGGTTACATTGTAGAGTCTTGTTAGCGTGCAAGTTAAGGGTCTGATATTCACTTTCCCCATTTGTGAAAATAGTAGCATTTGTTTTTTTTTTTGTTAATGTTTCCGTCAAATTGTTATTATGACTTACTGTTCTGCCGTTTTCCCATACCAGGTGAAGTGTTGGCAGATTCGGAAACAGTCGAAGGCTCCGCAAGCAGCTGGTGCTATACACACAGATTTTGAAAGGGGTTTCATCTGTGCAGAGGTACGAAGTCGTAACCAGCATACCCCTTTCGTTTTCTCCCAAGATTTGTAGATGATAATTAACGAGCTATCTTCTTATTTTACAGGTCATGAAGTTTGACGACTTGAAGGAGCTCGGAAGTGAGTCAGCGGTGAAGGTGAGGGATTACTGAATATTGGTCCAGGAATATGGTCTCTCGCCGTAATCGTTTGCGATCGGAGTTTCTAAATTAAAACTCATCTCAAACTGTTTTCAATTATGATGTGTTCTCGGTTGTCCACATGAATATCTAATCCAACCGTAACATTGCTATCGTAGTGGTCCAGCGAAGGGTTTTCATATGCTTGCTTATTCTTTCTACAGGCTGCTGGAAAGTATAAACAAGAAGGCAAGAACTACGTGGTTCAAGATGGAGACATCATTTTCTTCAAGTTTAATGTGACTGCCTCGGGAAAGAAATAGGTCTGCAGGGTTGCCTTCCGTCTTAGCTTTTCTGACCGTAATAACCTTGGCGTATTAGTAGCACAATCTTTGGGATACTAGGTCTTGTATGAAGTACGTATGCAAGACATACGGCTATCCACTGTATCGTTTGTTATGAAGTGGATAGCTGTAGTTTTAGCCTTTGAAGAGTATTTCACAAAAAAATTCGTTTTTGTGGTCTCACCTTTAACTTACAAGCTTCTCAGATTGGAACCTTATTATCCAAGTTTGCTCTAAATTCAGTCAAATGAGTTGCAATGTTTTCTTTCCTTTTAATGTAAGTTTTCACACAGTGAAAACGACCTCCACAATCTACGATGCTAGTTTCCTAATTACTACACATCAGATTGTCCATAACCAACGAAAGCGACGAAATCGGATTCGTTTGTTGAACTAATGCCAAAATTGTCCTTTTATTATAATCCAGTGAAACAAGTTCCGACTGGGTGAATGAACAAATTTTGGTCTTTGCTGTCTACGTTGTTCCTTGGTTGTATTTTATGAGGGTTGCTACTCCATAAACAACAACGATTGACCCACACTTCTAAATGTAACATTGTTTTCTTGTTCTTGAACAGTGCATATTTGAACTTCCTTGACATAAGTTTTGACCACGATAATACAAGTGTAGAAACACAATTTTGGCAGAAAATATATCAGAAGTTTTGAACTTACAGTATTGAATTCTATTGAAACAAATTGGTCTGAAATGGTAAGTGAACTTCAACGTAGTAAAACAAATTAATCAAGTAACAATGGTAGTCATAAAAAATTTCATTCAAAAAAATACATGCGCAGCATTCTAGTTGATAATGATAAAATATAACTACTTTTCCAAAAATTTGAAGATTTTCTCTTGTTTGTAAGAAAGTTAAAAAAAAAATGTGTTGTCAAAGAATCAAAGTTTATTGATAACCTAGCAAAACTTGGTACTTTAGGGCTTTTTAGCATAAGTTCAACAAGAAGAACCTTTTAGTGCTAAATCATTAATATTCACCACTAAGATTTATTTAGGGACACTTGTCATACTGGGCAACACAATGGCTTAACATATTACATCATTTATATGATAATATTACCAACTTCATGTAGCTATTGGGCCACTGATTGTGATATGATATTATAGAATGTATAGATACCATTTGAATACATATAGTTTAATGCAAGTAAGAATATAGGTTTTAAAGAATATATATACATATATATATATATATATATATATATATTGGAATTGTTTTGAAAAACTCTAATATTCAGAAGTAGTTTTTATATACAGATTTATGTCTATATATATATATATATATATATATAAATGTTTATCATTGTTTTAAAAGTATTTATATCTAAAAAATTTAATTATATTTTATTAGTATTTTTAGAATAGCCTATCTAATTTTAATAGAGTGCAATTTTTAGGAATCAATGTTTTTATCTTAAAATAAAACAAAATAAAGCAAGTTTTGCAAAAATATATATATATATATATATATATTTTTTGAAAATCTATTTTAATATGCTATTTTTTCTATAATAATTTAAAGACAATTTTAATTGCCTATTAAATTTTAGATAATTTAAAAGATATGAACACAAACTTACTTTATTTATACTGTAAGATAAAAGTATATTGCTATAATGTCAAATAATACTTGTCTATATAGATTATGCTATATAAAATTCTAATTAGAGCCATCAATTAATCTTTTCTAATTTTTTTTAAACTATTAGGTAGTCTATTTAGTCTAGTTAGTAATAGTAATAGTTGTAGAGGTAGTAGTTGTTTGTTTGTTTGTTTGTTTGTTTGTTTGTTTTTTTATGTTTTTTTTCCATCATTTTTATTGATTAATATATAAGCACCAAAGTTTTTATTTTAATCTTTACTATTGAAGATAAATGCTAAAAATAAGATTTTTTTTTAAAATTTTATTATTCTAAAAATCATTTATTGCAACTTTGTATCTATTATTTGATATAAAAATTATTTAAAATTCATAAAAAATATCATATGTATATCTCTCAAACATGCCTAAATATCAAGAATATCCATACATTTTTATTAATAGTATATATATATATATATCCTCCATATTGATAAAGTATTAAAAATCTGACAATTCTATTAATATTTTTGTCTTCATATAGATCCAAATAGTAGCTTTTATAATTTAGTATATTAGAAAAGGAAAGTGATTCCATATGATGTATATTCTTGGATAGATTGACAAAAAAATGAGATTGCAATAATTACTCAATAATGTAGAACATCTAACTCTCTTCCTCATAGTATTCCGTTCTCTTAAATATTGCATCTCAAGATTGTATCCACAAATATATGCATCTCTTCTTTGATATTACTATTTAAAATATCTATATCATAAGACTTTAACATTGAAGTTCTTATGTGCCCTTGAATCTCATATTTGTGCAAAGAAGTCACAAACCAATAATTTTGCAATATATGGCTTGTTTCCAAGACCTTGAATTTGATAATATGCTCCCCATTGTCTAGAATTTCCAACCTCTCAATGTTAGATGTGGTGGAAATGCTAGAAAGTAATTGCACATCTTGAATGCTTCCTACTATATTGTCGCTTTCAATAATATCACACCTCTAAATGAATTGCTTGTACACTTGCAGCTCATCAAATCTCCTCACAACCAACCACACAATGTATACATATATCTTAAAATGCTGTAATAAAATAGAGTTGCATTGGTACAAAAACAACTCATGCTTGTGGAACCAACATATCAAATTTTATTATCCTTCCAACATAGATTAAAAATCTAGTCACCCTTGTTTCTACTACATCATTGTATATATTCAAGAGCTCATGCTATAATCAAACACAACTCCATTCTCCGCAAATCATATCCTCATACCAACCACTACAACTTCAATAACACAGTGATTTCCTAAATTATAAGTCTTTTCTTAAAAGTGTTAAATAGCAATTGAATCTTTTGCATATTTATCTTCAAACCAAATAACAAACAATAATTCTTTACACAAGATATACAATGCCAACTATACTCAACACCTAAGCTTGCAAAAAGAGACTCATGTAGAAGAGACAAAGACAATAAACAAGGAGAAGGAGGAAGCGAGGTATGGAGAAGTGCACCTATCACGGACATACATATTTACCTAGATAAGAAGTACTAGGTAGAATGTAAATATAAGTAGTTTTGATATTGTCTTAAGGCAAAGCTTTTTAGAAGCTTCATAGATACATATTTGACTAAATATATGCTTATAGTTGATTGGTAGGTTAGAAACTTGGCCAATAAGTTAGTCATATATCATATGTATGGATAGCTTGTGATACAAGCTTATGATGTGGTTTCATATTAGAAACTTGCCTTGTAAGTTAAGACATATTTCTTACAAATTGGACAAGTATTGGATGTCTTATAGAATATTTTCATATAGCTTTTAGTTAGATAGTATATATAGAAGCTAGAGTGAAGCCTTCTTCATTCTTATCTATACCTTTTTAGTTGTTAGTCTTGTTTCAAGACTTTTTAATCTTCTTGTTTTTAGCCATAGCCATTTTAGTTTAATATTATATCATCTTTGAGTGATTTTTCAGACTTTTTGAATAATATAAGATTATATTGATCTTTTATTTCTTTGAGATTTATATCCTTGATAATTTGATATAAGTATTAACTCATTGTTATTGTTTTGTTTTTAGAAGTGAATAGATTATTTCACTTCTATTATTATATTTTTAAGGTTACAAATTATCTATCTTTAAACTAATATTTAGTTTTTTAATACTAGTTTTTTTTGTTAAAAGGAGAAGATTATTTTCTTTTGTAGAAATTTTCATTTGGTATTAGATGTTATAGATTACTTCATTTTAATTTGACTTGTAGTTTTGTTTGAATTTTTTATAGAAGGAAAAATTATAAATGTTATTCTTGGTAGAAATGAGAATAGATTTGCAACTATTATAAATCTTTATGAGCTTGTTAATGCTCTTAGGATGAAAAATTCACACATTTTCAATATAAATCATAGAAGTACTATTTCTATCCTTATAAAAGAAGTCAATAATGAAGTTCAAAGAATATGCCAAGAAGTTATGCAATTGAGAGAAGCAAGTAAATTAAGTTTATAATCAAATTTGAAAAGCTTTGCTATTAGAAGTATGAAGAAAACAAGGATAAGTATGTCACAGAAGTTTGATAGAATAAGATTAAAGCTTTGAATATTTCTACCACAAGTAAAGTTCTATTTAAGGTTGCATCCTTCTCAATATTTTGATGGATTTACTCAAGTAGGATTTATAAGTGCACTTCTATCTAGGAATGTTCTTTCTAGATTGGTACCTTTTATAGAAAAAGATTCACAACTATTTTATAATTTGAATTCATTCTTTGAAATATTTATGGCCACATTTGGAAAAAGTGACTTATAAAAGGTAGTAGAGACAAAATTTTTATCTTTATAATAAAAATCACGTTCAACTACCATATATGTTAGTAAATTCTAAAATCTTACTCGCAACTTGAATTGGAATAATAAAGTCTTTATCAATTAATTTTGATATAGGTTGAAAGATTATACTAAGTATTTATTGTTGACAATGCTCAGAGTAGACTCATTAAAGCAATATATTGCTCAAGCCATTGCATGAGACAATCAATTCTTTAAATGATGTCAAGAACAAAGATTTGGTTAGAGAGGTATGAGTCAAATCATGGTTACACCTTCTAAGTTTTTGAAAGATTATCCATCTTAGCCAAAGTCTATATGTGAGCTAAATTAAACCTTCACTAGAGAGAAGTTTATTCTAAAACTAGTGAATTAGCTATGTGAATTTTAGAAGTTATAGCTATTACTTAAATCCTAATAAATTCACTCTCTAATCTTCTTAAAAACCTCCATAATCAAGCTCAATTTCAAATATTAATTCATATTTATAATAATAATTCTATTACAAAATACATATCTAAAAATTCCTTCTCTTAATTGAGAAGAAATTAGAATCACTAATACAAAACCATACCTACTCATGGTAGGAAATCTAATACCTTTGGAAAAAATTCAACACACAATTCCAATGAGATAGATATTAGAACTCATGTAATATAAATTGGCATTGAATTTGAAAGAAGCCATGATTACTAAGATCTGCTTGAGAGGTAAGCACAAGATTATTCTTGATAGAGGCTTGATATAGATGGAAAGAACTATTTTCATTACTAATATGGTCACAAACTCAAGAATTGTATTGCTTCTCTACTAACACTATAAAGAAAAAATTAGGTTGATGCTAAACTAGTAGTGCTATACAATTACTAAA